CATGCATTTTCAACTCCCTTTTTGACTGCCACAAGATTTCTCATGCAACCAAATTTCAAAGGCTGAAATTTGCATGCTTTCTCAACCACCATGCAAAACGCACATGCCTCAACAATCTCCACCTTGGCGAGCATTCGAAAAATAAGATTCAGGACCAATAGCTTCATTCCCTTGGTGCCAATATGCCCTGACGGGCATTAAGCACTTTGGACACTAATCAAGTCCAAACAATGCTTGAACTTGATTCCACTTACCGGCTTTGTCATCATATCCGCAGGATTCTCGTCAGTTGATATCTTTTCAACGAGCACATCTCCATTTGATATAACCTCCCGGACAAAGTGATACCGAACTTGAATATGTTTGGTTCTCTCGTGGTACATGGTGTTCTTCGTCAAGTGAATGGCACTTTGACTATCACAAAACACCATCATCTCATTTTGTTCTACCCCGAGATCACTGACCAAACCCTTTAGCCATAATGCTTCCTTTATTGCCTCAGTAATTGCCATGTACTCTGCCTCAGTTGTTGACAAGGCGACTGTTGATTGCAATGTAGCTTTCCAACTAATGGCACACCCTGAGAGAGTAAAGACATATCCTGTAGTTGATCTCCTTTTGTCCAAATCACCGGCAAAATTAGAGTCGACAAATCCGACTACATTTCCACTTGGATTAGCACTCTGATCATAGACTAGTCCAACATCTACCGTGCCTCGTAATACCGGAGGATCCACTTCACAGCTTCCCAGTGTCCTTTACCCGGATTAGCCATATACCGACTAACCACACTAACTGCATGTGAAATATCAGGACGAGTACATACCATAGCATACATTAAGCTCCCAACAGCACTCGCATAAGGAACACGCGCCATAAACTTCTTCTCCTCCTCCGTTTCTGGTGACAAATTTGATGAAAGCTTAAAATGTGCTCCCAAAGGAGTAGTCACAGCCTTAGCTTCATGTAAGCCAAACCGCTCAAGTACTTTTTCAATGTACTTCTTTTGAGAGAGAAACAATTTACCTCCCTTGCGGTCCCTGTGAATCTCCATTCCTAAGATCTTCTTGGCTGCACCCAAGTCTTTCATCTCAAACTCACCACTAAGCTGCTTCTTCAAACCATCAATGATTAACATGCTTTTGGCAGCAATAAGCATGTCATCAACGTACAACAGCAAGTAAACCCAAGAACCATCTCCAAGCTTTTTATGATAGACACAACTATCATAGTTGCTCCGAGTGAATCTACTCTTAACCATGAAGTTGTCAAATCGTTTGTACCATTGCCGAGGCGACTGCTTCAATCCATATAAGGATTTCTAGAGCAAACAAACATGATCTTCTTTTCCTGAGACTATGAATCCCTCTGGCTGAGACATATATATCCGTTCCTCCAACTCACCATGCAGGAAAGCAGTCTTTACATCAAGTTGCTCTAACTCAAGATCATATAAAGTAACCATGGCAAGTAAAACACGAATAGAGCTGTGTTTCACCACAGGAGAGAATACCTCATGGAAATCAATACCCTCTCGTTGTGTGAAACCCTTCGCAACCAATCTGGCCTTG